CCTCGCTGCGTCCTCCTGCCCCCCAGCTCCACGCAGCACGGTCTGCGGCAGATGCACCCCTCGGCAAGTTAGGGCCATGGGAGAGGACGACAGACCCCTAACAGCCCGGGTCGCCTCCCAGCAGAATCCAAGCTCCCCCTTTCGTGCTGCGTAGACCACCCACGGTCTGCTCTGCGTAGAGGTACTGCCGCTCGACTTAGGGGGCGACCCCCCTCAGGGGTGCTAGGGCTCGGGGTACCCGGTGTTCGTGGGGTGCCCTGGTCTCAGGATCCCACGCGCGGCGTACCGGGGCTCAGGATTCTGGCGTTCAGGGGTGCCCCGCGATCAGGATACCCAGACGCAAGACACCCAGACTCAGGGATGCTGCCGTGGCACCTGTTCCAGGCCCGTGTGCTGCGTGGACCCAAAATAGTGCCAGTCTCCGTTTCCAAAGCAGTCATTCCGAGCGCCCAACACCTCCTTAAAACCCTACGTACCGTAACACCCAAAGGCACCAGCACACCTGGGGAACAAGTTCTGTTGGGTCCACCACCAGACCTCATGGGCAAATCCCTGGCGTGGGCTCTGGGTCTCAACAAGGCAACACCTGGGCAAAGTCTGGTTTCTGGCGGGACTCTGAGCGGCCAGCACCACACACATCCTCTTTGCAGCAGCGCGACGTGGTCCGCATGCCAGACACCCCTGCAGCCCTAGCCGCACCGTTAAAGAGAGTGATCGTCACAATTACACCGAAGCTGTCCTTTAAGTTGAATCAAAATGCAAGGGCCCAGAGGGTACCGGAAAGACATAAGGATTTTTTTTTTTTAAATAAAAACATGATCCTTAAAGATACATCTGTTAGGCCTTGAAGAAGAAAAGTGGGGGGACTATTGCATCGCGTCTGCGTTCGGTTTCCGGCTGTAATGGAAATCCGCACGGACGCGCGGGCCGGCTCCTACCAGCGGGGGCGCTGCAGGCCTAGCTTCCACCGCAACAGCAGCGCCCTGGACCGCTACTCCAGTGCAACCAAGCTCTCTGCAGCCCGGGCCAAGGGTTCCGAGCCCGGGGTGCATCTAACCGTGTGCCAGGACATAAAGGGCACCGCCAGAACCTCAGAGACACCGCCACAGATGAACTTGCCATCAGTGTGGCCACACACAGGATAGAATTCTCCCGGTATCCGATTAAAAGGGTCATTAACCTAATGCTTATTTAGCACGTACAGGGCGCAAAGAGCGGAGGACACAAAGAGAAATGAAATGGCCCTGCCCTAGAGCCTGGTGCCTGCCATCCCTGGGGGTGGGGGAATAAGAACCGATGCATTTTTCCTGCCACCATTTTGCGACAGGTTGGCCTCCTCCCCCAACAGGTAAGCCCTCCAAAGGCCGTGCCCGCGTCTTCCCCACCTATGAATAGCAGAGCCCGCCAAGGTGCCGGACACAAAGCAGGCCCCTAATAAATCCTGCGTGAATAAGTACAAGAATTTGAGGGCGTCCAGGGGAGGAAGTAATTAAGGGGAGGGGGAAGGGTTGTCTTGAATGATGAATAGACATTTACCAAAGAGACAAAGAACATTCCAGCCGGAGGGGACGGCCTCGCAAAGCCCCGGCGGCGCAAAACGGCGCGACCTTTGGCGAAAGGGGCCAGCCCTGTGGACTCCAGCGCGGACAGGCAAAAAATTGGGCTACAAAAGCTATTAGATCCTAAGGAGTTTGGAATTTGTCCTGAAGAAAATGAAAAGCCACAGACGGAGTTAAGCCCTTTATGGCCTTAATTGGTTACTCAACAAAATTTACATCAGTCCCCTTACAAGTCAAGGATTACCTATTTTAACTAACGGCCACCACCTTGTAAGAACTGAATTAATTACTTAAAATTTAAATCCGTGTTCTCAGTAGAGCAGAGGATTTCCTGTTTTACCTCACAAAAGCGATAAAACCACCTTTGCATTATGTATTTTTCAGACTTATTGTCAATGGGCCCTATGAGTCCCACAGACAATTACGCACCCTCAGCATACAAGGGTGCAGCCAATCTTCTATTTCATGCACCGAATGCTGCACAAAGGGTTTTATTCTGAAGGCTATGGGCAGGTCTACCCACAAGGACTAAGTGGGAAGACAGGAGTGGAAACTGTTTCAGAACCTGGGTGGGGGGAGGCGTAGGGGGACCAGGGAGAGATCTTGAAGGCCCCAGGGATGTCCAGTCTGGTGCTTTGGAGGAACCCTCCCTCCCAGGCAGAATGCTTAGGAAAAATTTCCTTGGAGAAGGCATGACTGGGGTTGGGATGAGCCTGGAACCCAGAATTTGGTTCAGCAGAGAAAGCAGTTCTGTCTGGAAGAAAGTTCACGCACAAAGCAAGAGCTTAGAAAAACGCACAGGAGATGATGAGCGGTCAGCTTGGCGACCGCCGAGAATCTGCTTTCAGAAGCCAAGGGAGAAAATGCTGGAGATAATGCCCCGGGAGCCAAAGAATTAATGAATCTTCTGACCGCGCCTGCACACCTCCAGGCGCTTCCGCCAGGAGGACAGAGTCCGGCCCAGGGCATGAACTCCTGGAACACTGGAGACACTCTGTGGCCTTAACCAGATAAAAATCCCAACTCTGCCTCTGGCTCTTCTCAGTAACCCCTCTGAGGTCACGGATTCACAGACACCTCATTACCCACATCACAAGCCACCAATCTCCCCCATCACCAGCTTATCACGCATTCCGATCACATTCCAAGTCTAATGCGGTTCCACACGAGGAGGCCTTGGATTTGTGTAGAAATGAGTGTGAGAAGGTCTGCACTGACTGTCTCACCGATCCGTATGAGCTCAGCCAGGCTGATAACCAGGGCTTCAGGGACCCCACTCCTCTGCCTCCAGCCCAGCATCCCATCATGTAACAGATACAAGGATATCTATGGAGACAACAAGGCCATACTGGGACCACCACCTTCAAGGGCCACAGTGATCAATTCAGATCATCTCAATAACTTCCGAATGGGAGAAAGCTGGCTAAACAGTTCAAGAGACTTAGGGTTTGCGTTGAAAACTCGGTGTGCCAATGCAATTGTAGACTATGATTAGGACAGTACTCAGAATTCACTAACCCGACCCTGTTCCATGAATTAGACCTCACAGAAATGTTTTATTCTAGTCTACAAAGCAGACATTAAGAGACACACAAACAAGCATTGGTTCAGAGAAAACTAAACTGCACTGCAAATCCTGTTAGGCTAAAGGTGTAACAGCTCTCATGTTTTAAGCTCTTACTATGGGCATGAGCGGGAGCTCTGGTGGCATAGTGCCTAAGGCGTTTCACTGCTAACCAGAAGGCTGGCGGTTCAAACCCACCAGTCACTTCTCAGAAGAAAGACTGGGTGATCTACTTCTGTAGAGATGCTGCCTTGGAAACCCAAAGAGAGGTCACTATGAGTCGGAATTGACTCAATGACAGTGAGTTGAGTTTTTATAGGTGTGAGGAGCCCCGGTGGTGCAGTAGTGGCTGTAGTGATCACCTGCTAACTGAACAGTTGGCAGTTCGAACCCACTAGCTGCTCCACATTAGAAAGATGTGGCAGTCTGCTTCCATAAAAATGAAAGCTTAGGTAACCCTATGGGCAGTTCTACTCTGTCACACAGGGCCACTGAGTTGGAATCAACTTGAAAGCAATGGGTTTTTATGACTGCAAGACTGGGTCCTCACCCCATGTATCTCCACTGGCCCAGCTAAGAGTATCTGCAGTCACATTTTGCAGAGAAAGCCACAGCTGCTCCGAGCATGGCGGGTTGGCGTGTGAGGGGCTGAGAACTGGACGCACGTGTGCTGGCACCAAAGCTGGTGTTCTTTCCACCACCCCACACTGCCTCCCTGTTTGAAATAACTGAGCAGGCTGAGTTTGAAGAAAAGAAGCCTTGTGGAGGGACTGGAGGAAGGAAACGTGCTAGCAGTTCTCAAATATTTGTGGAAGCAGTATTAGACATTTTATTCTGTGTGTCTCCAATGGGGGCAAATTATAGAGAAACAGATGGCAATTCAACATAAAGAATTTTCCAATGGTCAGACTGTTCAGAGGGACCAGGCGGCTCACCTACTCTGGGACACGACAACTTCCCTGGATAACCGTGTCAGATGCAAGCTCTAGATATCAGGTCTCATCTGAGAGAAACCAAGGTTCAGAGAGATCTTGGAACTTCCCAGGTGATGGTTCTTCCTGAGGGGCAAGTCCACAACCAGGTCTTCCCTAGGTCTCCCTCAGCCCAGAGCTCTGTGCCCAACATGCTGTCAAATGCTGAGAGCAAGACAAATGGAAGGATGACACATGCAATCATGTCAACTCCCTCTCAGCTCTGTGTAACCACTATATCCCAGAAGGACTAGAATCTTCCTCTCTCTTCAGGCTGTATTAGATAAAATTCCTTGGCTGTCTGGTGGAATCCCCAAGACTCCAGCCCTTAGACACCCTTCAAGCCTGAAATTGAACTCACCCCCAAGGCTCAACTTTCAGCCAAACAACAGGCAGGCCTATAAGGTGAACAGTAACAGCAGGAAGGTCTACACTCCTTAGAACAACCAACCATATGAGATCCAAAGGGCAGCCTTTGCCCAGGGATAAAGCTCTGACCACAGAAACGGACTGGAAAGAAAGACCAATGGAAACAGAAAACAGAGAGGAAGTGAGAAGGGTATTGTTA